AGATAAAAAAAAACTCACAAATTTCTTTCAAATAATTATAAATTTTTTTTTTTTAAAACTGATATTGAAACACACCCCTTTTTTTTTTATTGATAATAAAGAAAAGATAAAAAAAATTGAAGTGTTTTGGGTAGTTTTAATTTGTAAAGTAAAAAAAAAAAGATAAAATTTAATAAAAAAAATAGGGGTGTTTTGGGAAGTTTTTTTTTTTTTAATGAAAATTTTTGTTACTAACCATCTACTACTTTTTACAAACATTATACATATCCATTTTAATGCCCAAAAGACAATTTATTGAATTAATAACAGAAGTTAAAAAAAAAAAAATTATAAAAAAAAAAAAAATTGTTAAAAAAAAAATTATAAAAAAAAATTTATTAATTATAAATACCATTCTTTAATATTCATTCATTCAAATATATATAAATTAAATTTAATCCTTAAAGATTTAAAAAATAAATAAAAAGTAAATATAAAAATTAAAATTTAATGTAATAAAAAAAATAAAAAAAAATTAATTTATCTTTGTTTAATTTTTAATAAGTGTCAAGACCAATATCCGTAGGTATGTTATTCTGGTTTTTTATTAAATATATTACAGAAACTTTTCTAATTTTTTATTTTTTCTTTTTTTATCTTATAATCAGCACCAGGATTAAAATCACAACCTATTGTAGGTATTCTCGATATATTTCAAAATATTTTTTTTTAAATTAAACTAATATAATTTTAGCCAAATTTTACAACTAAGGAAACAACAATCAAAATTCAAGTTCCAGGTGGTGGTGAAGGCAAAGCTAAAATAGAAAGCTTAGAAACTGAACCAGAAACACGTGTATTTCAAAACTCTGATGAATTCTCTTGTATATATTATGGTTCTCTATTAACCATCTCCAATATAGGAAATACACCCTTGATCGTTACCTCTAATTGTAATTAAATATTCTTTAGAGTATTAATTTTAAATTTTTTAATAAAATATTATCTCTAAACTTTTTTTATTCATTTTTAAATTTTTATTATATTATTAATTTTTTTTTTTCCTTTCAAAAATTTTTATTTATAAAATAAGTATAATTAAGGTGCTCTATTTATCTGTGTTGATTCTTATATTCACACCTCTTCAATAATAAAATGAACAATATTATATTACATAAATTACATAAAAAAAAAAATTTTAAGGGCTACATAATTATAAATAAAAAAAATCTTAGTAATAAATATTTAGATTTATTATTTTTATCTTTTTATTATGACTATTGGTATTCTTTTTGGTTATATTCAATCAAGATATATTACTCAAAGAGTTTGTCACAATGATTGTCCATATACTTATCCAATTTTTATTCCAATGGTAGCAGTATTACTTAATTCAATTATTGCAAGTTCTGGGTTTGTGTTTAATTATTTAATTAGTTAATTTTTTTTTTATTTTAAATATTAATAATATTTTTTTTTTATTTTAAATTTTAGAACCAATAATATTTATTTAATTTACTACTTTTTTATATTTAATTATATTTAAAATTTTATAATAAAAAAAAAAAAACCTAAACCAAAACCAACAAAACATAATTATCGAAATTTAAAACAACAAAGCCCATAGTCTTTTATTTTTTATTTACAAATCTATTTATTTTCGTTTTCTTTATTTCTTGTAAAAACCAAACATCTTATTATTGAAGATAAATCTTTTTTTGAATCGGTAAATTTAAAACCACAGCTTTCCATTATTTCAATTATATCATTTTCTTGACCTTTTCCAATTTCAAAAACTACTTGTGCATTATTTGATAATAATTCTTTATTATTTTTTAAAAGTAACCCAATATTTCTATAATCTTTTAAGCCATTTTCGTCTGCTATTAATGCTGTGGTAGGTTCCCAATCTTTAACAGTTTCATTTAATTCCTTATATTCATCGATTGAGATATATGGTGGATTGCTTATAACCAAGTCAAATGGTTTAAATTGACCTAATTCTTTTACTAGAGACTCCTGATGATTCCAATCTGAATTTAAAAAACAAACTCTATCTTTTAATTCCAATTCTTTTGCATTTTTATTTGCTAATAAAAGTGACTCTTTAGATTTATCGATACCAACACCAAATGATCCATCTAATTCATATAAAATCGATAATAATAAACATCCTGTACCTGTACCTAAATCCAATACTCTATCAAACTTTAAATTATTTTTATTTTTCTCTTCTAATATCTTTTCGACAATCTATATTTAAAACAAAGTATTAGTATTAATATTAGTATTATTGTAAATTTATTTACTATTATTTTTACCGTTTCACTATCTGGTCTTGGTATTAGGGTTGATCTATCACAATGAAATTTATGTTTCCAAAAATATCTATAACCTATTAAATAACTTATTGGTTCATTTAATAACCTTCTATTTACTAGTTCTTGTAATCGGCTATACTCTTCATTGGTTAGAAATCTATGTTGGTTTTTTTTACTAAATAATGTTATTGCTGAACTATCTATATCCAAAACATGTGATATTAAAACTCTTGATTCTAATTCTGATCCTTCTGAAATTTGTCTATTATTACTATTTTTTAATTTTTTATTGATTTCATTATATATATATTTTATACCCCTACTGTTTACAACAATATTAATATTACTACTAAAAAATCTTATACTATTACTATTATTATTATTTCTAATGAAATTTTTAATTATATTTAATGATTTCATTTATTTTTGGTAATAAAAAAAAAAAGTGAAAAAAAAAAATTAAAAAAAAAAATTAAAAAAAAAAAAAAAAAATTAAAAATGTCATTTAATCTTTTTATAACATCTGGGTGGCTTTAATTTTTTTTTAATATGGTTAAGTAATCAACTTGAGTTGGTCAATAGAGAAGAGAAAAATGTAAGCTTTGGGATGAAGTATTATAGGGATAGTTTATTTTATAGTTTTTTTGGAATTTGCCTCTAAGTTTTCTTTTTTTTATTTTATAAAAATATTTTCTTCTTTTATCTATTTTTCAATTATTTCTATTTTCTTTTCTTCATCTTTATCTATATAAAAAAAAGGGTTCCTTATAAATAATATAGCTTATAAATTTAAAATTTTATTTATAAATTAAGAATTATAAAAAAGATTTTGAAAAAAGGTTAGGATTGCTTTTAATGATACTTTTTACATTAAATTTGTAAACAGTTTTTTTAATTGGAAAATGATATGTATGCAAAATTAGACTCCCTAAAAAAAACCGTAGATACCAATAAGTTTGGTATTTTTAGATACAAGTAAAGGAAGATAAAAAAACTCCCAAATTTCTTTCAAAATAATTAAAAAACAGTTTGAAAAAACAAACCAACCCTTTTTTTTAATTTAATAAAGAAATAGGGGGGGGGTTTTGGACCCCTAATTAAATTTTTTTTTTTTTTTTTTTTTTTTTTTTAATTAAATAAATTAATAAGAGAAGTTAAAAAAAAAAAAAAATATTAATTAATACCAATCTTTAATATTCATTCAAATATACATTAAAGCTTTATAAAATAAATAAAAAGTAAATATAAAATATTTTTAAAAATAAAAAAAAATAAAAATATTAATTTATCTTTATTAAAAATTAAAAGTGTCAAGACCAATATACATAGGTATGCCATTCTGGTTTTTTATTAAATATTTAGCGGAAACTTTTCTAATTTTTTTTTTTTTTAATCAGGACCAGGGAGAAAAACAGACCCCGTTGTAGGTATTATATTATTCAAAATATTTAATTTTAAAAACTACTAATATAATTTTAGAGAAATTTTGAAACTAAGGAAACAACATTCAAAATTGAACTTTATGAAAGTAGTGGTGAAGGTACTGTTATAATTCAACCTAAAAATACAAAACCAGAAACAATTGTTTTTCAAGACTCTGTTGAATTCTCTCGTATTTATTATGGTTCTCTACTATTCTTCACCAATAGTGGAAAAGAAACCTTAAAACTTACCACCGATTGCCCTTATGAGCCATATGTTTAATACTTAGTTTTTAATAAAATATTATCTTTAGAAATTAAGAAATTTTTTTCAAAAAAATAACTTTCAATAAAAAAAATTATTTAATTTTATTATTTTATTATAATATTTTTTTTTATTTTCCTTTCAAAAATCTTTACAAAGCCATATTAATAAGATTTGTTTATTTTCGGTTCTATATTTACCTGTGTTGATTCATATATTTACACCTCTTCAATAATAAAATGAAAATATTATATTTTTAAAAAAAAAATTATAAACCATTTTTTTATTTAAAAAAACATAATAATACCAATCAACAATTATCTTTCAATTTCTTTTGAATAATCTTCTATTATCTATTCTATAGAGCCTGGAATATATATACCCCTTTATTATTTTATTTTAAATAAAATATTATTTACAAAATTTTATATTTTTGGGTGGTTGTTTAAAATAAATTTTTATTTTGGAAATTAAAAAATATTTGTTTCCAATATGCAAAAAAAAAAAATTTAGGATATAAATAAAAAAAATTTAGGATATAAATAAAAAAAATCTAAGAAATAAATATTTAGATTTATTATTTTTATTTATAAATTAATAATTTTATTTTTGATTTATTAAAATTAATTAAAAACCATAAAATTTTATTTGTATTATAATATTTCGCTAAATATTTAATAATTGTTTGGATCTAAACCAAAAAAACAAATTATACCATCGTCACAACCACTGACAATTAAGTCAGAACTTGCAGAAATATCGAAATAGTTAATTGATGTACCTGGGAAAGGGGCATGCTCTAATGCGACTAGTTGTTTATTATTTTCTACATCCCAAAGACGAACACAACCATCATCGGCTGAAGTTGCAAAAAACTCACCATTTCTAGACCACTGTGCATGATTTACAAGTTTGATATTATCATTATAGGATTGATTTTCGTTTATTTTATGGCGGAGCTCTGAAACTGGTGTTCTACAATTACGGGTGTCAAAAACATATGTACAATTGGTAGTACCCGAAATTGAAATATAATTACCGCATGGACTATAACAACAAATATTAACATCCTCTTGACCAGTGCTCATGGTAA